ATTGAAATGCTCCCTTTTCCTCTGACTCTTCTAATCTGTGCCTGATTTGACTATTGATATATTATTATACTTTTAAAATAGTTGGTTATTTCCTTTCTGGTTATGTCTTCTCTTACACCCACCCAGTCCACATGAAAAGCACAGGGGATTTGTGATGAACTAATTATAATGTTTCTTTTCTTTTGCATTCTCCTTGCAGTTCCTGCCAGGCTGTAACTCAGTGTTTAGCTGCAGCCTGATGCACTGTGGGTGTTTCACAGGAAACATTTGCCATGGCATCCTTTTTCCTGTGAAAACAGTGGAACCATGACAAGTTTCACTTTGAGCTCCAGAATTGTGAAGCGTGGTGTTGACTGGTACCAAAATGCAATCTGGTACCAAAACATTGCAAAATGCAAATATGCATGTGTAATTCATGCTGTAGGAACCTCGTGCTGGTATATGATAGTGCTGCTATTTTATTGAGATAACAGAGGTGGGAATTCTTTCCTCAGGATGTGCAAATGGAATTGGTGCCTCCTCATCCACAATGTATTTGGGAATGGTTTTGCTTTGCATTTCTAAGCATGTAGTGCCTTTTGAGAATGTAGCCACACGTGGCAGCAGGTTAGAGGTAGTTCATGGTGTATTAGAGAGCATGGGGGTAATTCCAAAGCACAGGAATGTCTGGAGGGGTGTTATTCATGATTTTTCTCAGGTTACTGGGAAGTTTTTTTTGCAGTTCTCTTGGGAAGGGAGGCCAAGGGAAGGTGGGATACACCAGCTGGGATTGGGGGTGTAGCTGGGCTGGAGGGCTCAGGGAGCTGAGATTTCCAGGGGTATTTCCTGCTGCTCATGGGTCCCATAGGGCTGGAATGCTGCTGCAGCCAGCAGATGTAAAGGCTCTCACCTGCAGTTGGGTGCAGGTTCCTGCCTGGCTTCCAGGGACATTCCTGCATCCTGCCCCTCTGCTGTGTTGAAGTAAGCTAAAAAGGAATCTCCATGGCTGCATCGTGAGCCTCACAGCTGTCCTTTAGCTGAGGTTTCTGCTGGAATTTGGAATTATTTTGAGTGACATTTTGACCCCAGTTTGTCACTTGTGCTGAGGACATGGGCTCTCTTGAATGGGTTTGTCCCTTCCCAGCAATCAGGGGTCACTCATTCAGGTGGGATAAGGGGCTTTGGGAAGAGTCACCCCTGGTTTATTACTGTCAGAATTAGCTGCATGGTAAATATTGTCTTAATATTTATTGAGAAGAAAAATTGTTGAAAGTCGTGGGTAGGTGCTATGTACCTGCCTACATCTCACAAAAGCTGTCCAGGAGATTTTCCTCTTTGCTAGTATTAAATTAGGAAAATCAGGAGCCAGAGGTTGGAAGGAATAGCCAGATCCAGCCTGGCTGTGTCACAGACACCCAGTTTGGGAGGTGTCACTGAACCCCCATTTTTCACACTCTCACCACTGCAGTGTTTCACTGCACAGCAAACGTGCCTAAAGCACACAGGTTTTTTTAATGATGGTGACTTTGGATTCCTGGCTGCAAGATTTTGGTCATATGGCAAGTTTGCAGGGTTTGGGTCGTGCCCACCCATTGGAATTAAAGACAGCTCCCTCTAAAGACTTGACTTTGTTTAGCCCTGTGCTTTGGCTCTGTAGCCACATTGCTTCCAGTCTAAATTATTTCTGGTTTTCGTGCTTACACTCAAGTTTCTTCAGCAAAGGCTCAGAGAAACTGGGTTATTTCCCCCTCTCTTGCACAGAATCACAGTAGGACCTTGGGTTTGTTCTGCCTTTGCTCATCAGCTACAGGAAGTACCTTTTCAGGATGTCAGCTTCCCAGGATCCAGCTCCTTTGTTTTTATTCAGTGCCAGCTAATGCAGAGTCTGTTCACTGCTGGACTTTAGGCACTGGTAAAATAATGAATGATGACAATGGAGAAGAGCTTTTACCTTTCTTGACAGTCATATTGCTGTTGGCCTGGAGATTAGTGGGTGATTTAGTAGCAGTTACAAAAAAATAATCTGAAATTGTGATACAATTGATAGGAATCACCATTCTTGTCTCTAGTGGTCCCTGAGAGGCCTGGGGACATGACATAAGCTGCTGTTCTTGTGCTTCTATTCCATCAACCTTTCTATAAATCATTATAAAATACTTCCCTGAGTGTTGGGGGTTTCACTTCTCTGCTTTTTTAGTTCCAGTATTGAAACACGGGTGTTAAGCACAGTGAGTGCAGGCACAATTCCTCTGACCTCAGGGAAGGGCTAGTGGAGTAAACACTTCTAATGCCTTGCTTGATTTTAAGAGAACAAGTAACCCTTTGAAAGAGAGAACAGCTCTGTGGTTTTTAAACTGGAGACGTTTAGACACCTCTGGGTGGATCTTTGTGCTTCTGAATCACATTCTGCAAGAGATGTGGTTGGGGAAATAGTTGGACAGAGTTTCTGTTGAGGTCTGCAAACACCCTCAGTGTTGTGTGTGGAGCATAAAATATCCCAGTGATGCACGTGCCAGTTCATGTGTCCCTGTTTTTAATCATTTCTACCTGGCAGCATGTGCTTTCTGTGTTCAGAAGTGTTGTGTCCCTTGAGGGACAGTCTCTGCTCCTGTTGTGTGTCCCTGCCCTGTGTCCTAGCTGTGCTGCATGGTGTGTGTGCCAAGCTGTGGCATTCCAGCTGCATGTCCATAGGAACACCAGTGCTCCTTAGCTGGGAATAATGACCTCTCTTTCCATCCCTCCCTCTAGGTTGTGTGGAGGAAACTTGGAGATGCTGCAGGGTCGTGCCCTGGAATTAGACAACACTTGGCAGGAAATCAGTACAAAGGACCCATGTAAGAGGCCCTGAGCACATCCTCTCTCTGAAGAGCACACTCTGCACTGCCGGGAGAGGGGAAGCACCGCCTGTGTCCGCCGCAATTCCCAGCTGACCACGGGGGTCTGCACTGCAAGAGACTGCTGGAAACGGGGACATTCTGCACAGGGGTCTGCCAGGAGCTGTGTGGCAGTGTCCCCCAATCCTGCTGTTCCAATAGCCCAGCTAATGAAGCTCTGCGCCCTCACTGCAACACTCCACCCTTAGAAGCACTGAGGTATTGCCATCCTAACCAAAAGATGTTTGGGATTCTGCAGGCGTTACGCGAAATAAGTTTTATTTTGGTTAGTTACAGTGAATCTCTGATAGGTCTGAACGAGTTTTCCACTGGATTTAAGAGAGGTTTTTCAGCAGACTGGAGAGACACTGAAAAACTGTGCCTTTGGTCTCTGCAGGCTTGAGAAAGTCGCTTCTTAGTAACTCACACTTCAGTCTGTAAAGGATCCGTTAATGGTGCTTAGGCAATTTCCAGGTGATTTTTTTGCTTTGGTAGAATACCTGCCTTTGGAGGTGCTAAAAGACCATAAAGTCCTAACCAGCCGGTAGTGTAGCATAACTACAGTACTTGTAGTGATCCACAATTTCTTTCTAAATGAAAGTCAAGATAGCTTTCTTTTTGATTCACTTTGATGCACATCTTCTGAAGAGGTGTAAGGTGTTTAATGAACGGCCCTTTAATGAACAGAATACTTAGGCATCATTATTACAGGTCTCAAGTCAGGATTTCCATTCGAATTTATTTTGGAAATTATATTCCAATTGTCAGGATGCTAATTTCTACTGTTTAATTTAGAGACATGCTGGTTTGTTTAACAAGAGCCTACAAGGATCTAAAAGATTGCACTGCATTATTAAAAAAAGCTTTTCTTGCCACTGTAGCGTTCTTTCAAAGAAAAAGGTTTCATTATCCTCAGAGCATGCCTTTCATTATTATGAGGCAGAAAGCTCTTGTTCAGATTGCCTGAGATTTGACCAGACGGCACCCTAGATGTGCTTAGTTTATTTTTATCTCTGTGTATGATCCTAGTTGTGTGTATTGAATTACAACGATAGATATTTTGTGTATATCTTAAAGCAATGATAGTTTCATGTATGAATGTGCAACAGGCTTGTGACTGAATGCTGTTGCTTAACTTTTTACCATAGCTGAGTATCAAAAAGACTAATAAAAATGAATTAAAAAAAAATAGGAATGCAACAATTCCTGGGTTTCTGGTTTGTTCTTGGTTACTAAGATTTGAGCCAAAGTCAGAACCTCTGTTTTTCTGAGCTTGGACTGTATCCGTGGGCTATTTGCAGTGAAATGTAGCTCTGTTGCTGTACAATCTTTTGTTATATAGGAGTATGATGTAAATCTGCTATCTGTCTTCAGAAAAAGTGTGTTAATTTGCAGCAGTAATTCTGTTGGTTTCTGTTGTTATTTTCACTTGGTACCATTCAATGTAAGGCCTCTGATCCAGCGTTGCTTTCTTGGGAAAACTCCTGTTCACTGCTTCTCCTTGAGTTGGAAGTGCAGAATCCAGCCTTCTGTTTTGAACCATTGCCCTCCTGCGTGCTTTCTGATCTAACCCCAGCCCAGCCAGCTATCTGTTCTCTTCCCAGGTTGTTTTCTCCCCTATATTGTTTGCAGAGTTCAATTGTTGTATTCCTATCTCTGTGTGTATGAACAGCTGTAACACCTGTACTTGTGCCCGCACTCTGGACGTGCAGGGGCCAAGCGAGGGACACTGGTCTTTTGACACTACACTTGTGTAAATTTTGATACTGTATTAAAACTATTTTTTTACAGTTCTGCATACGATGGGGTATCAAGTATTGTGTTCATCTTAGCAACGGTAATAAATTATAGAATCCCACCCTTGTTTGCTCTCCTTTACTGACTGAAGCTCTGAGCTGCTTGGGCTTACAGGCAGGAACCATTGAAAACGTTTCCTGCTTGACTGAGAAATTAGCAGCACACTGCATTTTTCTTCATTTTCTGGCCAGGTGTCTTTAAAAAATGCCAGCAATGTGAAGTTGCTTCTCTGTTTTCTGCTGAACAAAGAACAGCTGTAGGTAATTGTGCAGGGGTTGTGACCAGGTGCAACTCCTTCAGTCCTCAGCTGTGCTGTGTTTGCAGCCCCAGGACAGCTGTGCTGGTTCTTTCCTCCTGCCCTCCTCACAGAGCAGTCCTGGGGTGCAGGCAGGAGAATGTGGAGCTCCTGGAGTCTTGTTCAGGTAAGGGGTGCTGGTGGGGCTGGCAGTGTCCTGTAGTGTGTTGGTGGCCTCCTGTGTCACCACATCCCTGTCCCAGGATGGGTTTGTGTGGGCCAGGGGAAAGGGCTGGCTCTTAGTGCAGAGCAGAGAACTTTCACTAAATTTTCTGGAGAAAAGAGATGCTTAGTACAATCAATATCTTTAAACTAATAAATCCCATGGGAACTCCTTCAAGTGCACCTTCCTAAGAGGAGAAAGTGGGCAGTGTGTGGAGAAGGGGGTCAGTGCTCTTGGGAGAGTCTGTAGCTTACTGAAAGGCCTCTGTGCTAATGAATAAAAATTGCTGTAGTACTTGGGACCTTCAGCTCCTCTGTCTTGCTCCCTGCCCCTGTGGTTAAGCCTTTTTCAGTGAAATTCAACTGTGCCAAGCCTCGTTGTGGACTCTTTGTGCAATTTTTAGCAGAACTCTGCTTTGGTTGAAGATTTGCGTGTGTTGTTACGGGGCCTTTCCCAGGATCTGAGCTGAGCCTGAATGAGCTATAAATTCACTGTGTGAGTGAATTTTAAATAGCACTTGTGTAGTGCATGTATGGAGTGGATTTTACCTTCAGTGCTGCAGGAAAGCTGCTTTGCCAAAGGGTTAGAAGGTAAAGAATGGCACTTTGTTTTCAGCAAGTGACTGGTTTCAGTAGAGCCTGCTCCCCAAAGGCTGCAGTTGATGGACATGTTTATGAACGTGGCATGAAGCCAGCGTGCCCTTTGTAATGTTTTGAGCAGAGCTAGCCCAAACAGCCTCTGTGGCCTGGGGACAGCGCCTGGCCCGGTGCTCCTTTGTGCTACCCAAACCTCTCAAACACCAAATGCCCCCAGGCTCTCTGTGTTGCCTCCCCAACAAATACCAGCCATGCCAGGGCGCGGGTTTATTTAATTCCCCAGAAGTTTTTGAAGTCCTGGGGTGGTGTGAATTCTTTATACTGATCTCACAACTTTGATACAGAAGAAAATGTCTTCTCCCCACTTTTAAGTGGAAAAAAGGTCTTGATGAGACTGTCTTTTATTTTGAGCAGCATGGGCCAGCAAATGCAGCTGCTGGGTATGGAATGCCAAAATCTCTGTCTGTCTCCACACTTGTGTTTTCCAGGCTCAGGTGAACCAGCCATGAATGTCCCCAAACCAGCACCAAGCTGCCACTCTGGTCATCCCAGGTCCCCAAGGTAAGAACAGCTGACTCGATAGCAGCTCTGCCTGGAATGAGTAAATAGAGGCTCTGCATTAATTAATCAAGCAGCAAACAGGGATTTGCTGGGCTGATTTGTGGTTATGGGACTTTCTAGCACGTGAAGGAGAGGATGTTTGCCAGAGCTGGCAACTTGGGTCTGATATATGCAATACTGGGAGTGAGGTGGAATGGAAACTGCCAAAGGAGGAATGAACAAATCATCTTGCTTGGAATCACTCCTTTCTTAAAGAAAAAGCTCATTTCTCTGTGCAGGAGAGGACGTTTGCCAGAGCTGGCAACTCGTGTCTGATGTTGGGAGTGAGGGGGAAGGGGAATGCCAAAGGGGGAATGGGCAAATCATCTTGCTTGGAATCACTCCTTTCTTAAAGAAAAAGCTCATTTCTCTCCTGCTTGGTGGCTCCAGACTCCTCCTGTTTGGTTGTTTTTGTGGTTTTTTTTTAAATCTCAGAAATAGCATAGCGTGGTTGAGATTTTCAGTGTGTGGAAGGTCAGAGCAGGGGAAGGCTTAGCAAGACCATGTGGGATTGGTAGGGGTCAAGCAACACAGAGATGGTAGTGTGAAGGAAAATGAACTTCTGAATGCTCTTACATAAATAAAAATATGACTGTGTTTTGAAAGCTTAAGATAACACAGACTGGAGACAGAAATGGTACTTGAATCTTCCTTAACTGTGAAAGCTCAGACAGTTCCATGTGAGTAATTGTAAAATTGAGGAATATTGATGGGGATGATGGAAATAAGTAAAATCACAGAGTCCTGTGATACTGATATGAGGGCTTTGCTGGAGTCAGGCTCTGGGGAGCTCCAGCCTAGTCCAAGCACCAGTGGCTCTCCTTGTGCTACTGGCTGGTGGGGAAGGTCCCCAGAGACTGCATCACATGCTTCTGTCTGAAACCTCTTCCTAAACACCTGGTTCACAAAGACATGCCAAAATAATAATACTGAATTATTTAACGTGTTTGTTAGAACATGATAATTGCTCTCCTCTTGAATAAGAACTTGTTATAATGATCTCTTCAAAGCTGGACACTGGCTGTGTCCCTGAAGTTTGAAGTTTCTTTGGATTTCTTTGCCCCTCACTACTATGTACAGGTTGAAGTAGATTTAACAAAATATTTTTGAGGCTGCAGATTAAAAAAAAAAAAGGAAAAAAAAAACTCTGGGAGCCCATTGCCAGCTTCTGGAAAGAAACAGTACAAAGGGAAGGGGGATGGGGACCTGCCCTGCCAGGGTCCAGGCTGCTGCAGGTGGATCTCGTGCTGTGTTTGGGAGGGAAAGTTGATTTGCAATGAGCTCACCTGTGTGTGGCAAACACTGAGGGAGAGAGAAGGTGGTTTAATCCTTCCACAGGTGACTTCATTTTCTTTTTCTCATCCTTTGTGCTAAATGCTAGGGGCTGGGATTGGCTTGTGAGCAGTGGTGTTCCCAGGCCTGAACACCTCCACTGTAGAGCAGGAGGGGTTTGATGGTGTGTTTGGGGTCTTTTTCCAAGGAGTGTGGGAAATCCCTGGTGTGACACAGGGAGGGCCATCCTGGCTCAGGCCAGTGTGCTGAGCCCTGTTAAAGCACAGCTTCACTCGCAGCTTAAGTGTAAAGGTCAGAGTGAAAGGAAAATGTTCTCTTGGGTTTGGAGCTGGCCTTTCCAAGTAGGATCCGGTTTGTTGTCAGAGCAGTGGGATCGGCCTGAACATCAATCAATGGTGTGGGGCCGTCGAGCTGCTGTTTTAGACTTCACAAGAGAGGAAATACACTATCTAAAAATACAGCTTTTTCCTCCCCCTGCTGAGGGGGAAGTCTCCACAGACTGCTGCATACTCCCATTTAGGAAGGCCCAGAGCCCACCCTACCCAACCTTGAGAATCCCAGGAAAAGCACACCATGAAACATGGGAATGTTTCCATGGGAACTGTTCCTCTACTCCTGCTAATAAAACAGACCTATAACACCAGTGACAACAGGTCCCAGTTTCTGCACCAAACTACAAACAGGGAATGCTACAAAGGGAGCTGGTAAAGAGCAGAAGTGTAAATCAACAGAAGTGCTAAATTAGGTATGTGAATGCCTCTCTGTGAGAAAGCACAAGCAGATAAACAAAGCCCTTGGGGAAAAAAAAAGATCATTTTAATTACAGCACATCCAGCCAACATAAACCCCGTGGATTGTGTGAAATCAGGTTTGGTCCTCTGATCCACAGCAGGAAACCCTGTAGCAGATCAAATGTGTTCAGGGAGGCTGTCCTGCTAATTGCTGCTCCTAGCTGAGCCAAAGCAAACTATTTAGACAAAGGAGAGAATTCACTTTTTATTTAGAATTAATTATGAAATAGCATGTCTTGATGGGTTTCACAATCACACTACATTTCCTGGGGAAAAAAAAAAGTAGTTCTAATCCTGTGAAATAATTGGAGAATTAACCCATTGCTTCAGGCTGGAGCCCCAACATGTGCATACAATTAGGTGCAAGCTGAGTGATGTCATGAATAAGGCCTTTTCTTCAATCACAACAAATTGTGAAACTCATTTTAAAGCTTTCCTTATGAGCATTCTTTTATGTTCTGATGTTAAAACTGTGGGGGTTTTTGTTGTTGTTTTTTTTTTCTTTTTTTTTTTCTTTCTTTCTGGCATGATTTTCATGCTTCCTTTTGGTTTTTATTTTTTAAGCCTGTTGTGGCCATTTTGCAGCATCTCTTTGGCTTCTCACTAGAGATTTCAGAGTTTTGCACTGAGTATTTTGGGGGTTGGATGTATTGCTTGGGTACTCTCACTTTATGCTGCTAAGCATGAACTGGAGGTTTCAGTTTCTTCCTGCACTGTTCCAGCACCTATGGGTTGTCTTGGAGCAGCTTATCTGCATTTGTAGCCATGGACAAACAAAGCCAAAGAGGCAGGGAAGAGGTTGTGTTGGTACCCTGACAGAATGGAATATGCAGAAATATCCATGCAGAGCATCCATAATCCATATGTGTTTATGTTAAGTAATAACTTTACTGTGTCCAGGAAAATGTTTCTGCAAACGCTGATGGAAAACTGAGGTGGATGGGAAGGCAGGTATGTGCCGCAGAGAGCAATAAATGTTGTGCTCTAAAGGCACTTCAGAGGCATTTTCAGGTGCAAAAATGAGCAATTAGTTAAAAAAATGCAAATAAATGAAAAATAGACAACTTGAAGCTTTCCCAGCTGCTTTCTTCGGCTCTTTTGAAGCTGCCTTCTCTTTTCTCAGAGGACAGTTCCATGTGACAGCCGGCTTGACTTTTCCTCTGCTAATATCCCTACCTTAGCAGGAAAAAGGAACAATGGAGAGAAGAGGCAGCCAGTGATCAGTGCCCAGACTGGTGCTGATAAGGTTTTATCTTGGATCTTGATTAATTAATTGATGCTGAGGTCTCAGTCAGAAATGTGTTCGCCTAGTGGAGGAAAATACTGAGGGCTTGGTCCTGCCGTGTCCCAGGAGTCACTTGCTGGGATCGGGGCAGGGGGTGTTGGGGTGTTTCTGTCCCCTCAGCTCCCTGGAGCTGGTGTTTACAGTGGGCTTTTTCACAGCATGCAGCCGGGATGGCAGCACCAGCACCTCTTCAGAGCCCCATCTCCCCTCACGACTCCCATCTTACCTCGCAGCTCTCCTCTTTCTCTCCTCACAGCACCATCTTCCCTCACAGCCCTTCTCTCCCCTCTCAAGGCGCACTATCTTCCCTCACAATTCCCCTTACAGCCCCATCTTCTGCAGTCTCCTCTCACAGCCCCACTCTTCCCTCATAACTACCCCATCTCCTCACAGCCTCATTTTCCCCGTAACTCCCCTCTTTCTCCTCACAACTCCTCTCTCTCCCCTCACAGCCCCATCTCCACCATCTCCTCTCTCTCTCCCCTCATGAACCCCATTCTCCCCTCTCTCTCCTCACAGCCCCATTCTCCTCTCACAGCTCTCCTCACAGCTCCATCTCTGCCATTTTCCCTCACAGCCCCATTCTTCCCTCACAGTCCCATCTCTGCCATCTCCCCTCACACCTTCCCTCATAGCTCCTCTCTCTTTTCTCACAGCTCAATTTTTCCCTCATGGTCCCATTCTCCCCTCGCAACTCTCTCCCCTCACAGCCCCATCTCTGCCATTTTCCCTTACAGCCCCATTCTCCCCTCACAACTTCTTTTCTGCCATCTCCCCTCACACCTCCCCTCAGGGCCCCACTCTCCCCTCATAACTCCTCTCTCTCCTCACAGCTGAATTTTTCCATCATGGCCCCATTCTTTCCCCCTCTCTCCCCTCACAGCCCCATCTCTGCCATCTTCCCTCACAGCTCCATTCTCCTCTCACAGGACCGGGCCTTCACTCCCAGCAAAGGTACTTGCAATAAATACAGAAAATACTGATCTGGGAGAGTCTGGAGGTGAAAAAAAATAGGTGGAATTTGGAGATTTCCAGTCCTTTGTGTCATAGAGGGAGAGAACTTTTCTTGGGCTGGATGGAATCTACATAAATGAATTGTGCTTCCACCTATCCCTGTGGGTAACTCAGGAGCTGTTGATGTCACAGACTGAGGAAAACTTTCTGAATCCATGTTATAAAAACAGGAGTTCTAAGTAATATTTGCTGCATTTTAATTTTCTATGATAACAGAAAAAATATATATATAAAAATCAGAGTGATTGCAAGAGGGAAAGATGTTTAGTCTAATTACCCCATGCTATTTGTTTGGTTGGGGAGGAAATATTAGGCAGACTTTTTTCTTTTTCTTCCCTGGGAGTAATTAAATATGCTTCCAAAAAGGTTTTGGGCTAAACTGTCTATTAACCACATTTTTAGTTCCTATTTTGCATATTACTAGCCTCAGAATTCCAGTGGCCTGACCAAGAGGAGCTGAAATTATATCAATTAAGGGACAGTATTAGAAGAGAGCTGTGTAACCAAAGTAACTCTCTGCTCAGATGTGTCCTGTGAGTTTTCATTCTTTCCAGATACATAAAGATGTCCAAAGGGCA